TTTATGCTTATTAAGAGGCACCCCCCAGGGAAGCTGCTGTAAAATAAACATAAAGGGAGGATGTAGGGTCTGCTTCCAGTTTGACATTCACATTTAAATCACAGTTGTTCTCCTGCAGAACTGTAAGTCTCCACTATGAAGAATGTTAAGTCTTCACTGGCTACTTAAAGAGCTACTCAGTGCTCCTCATACTGGAAATACTCTGGGTCCACCTTGGCATTCTACAGACTTCATTTCTTTTTCAGTGCTGGCTTCAGTGTCTACTCATGAGTGTCTCACCAGCAGGTGTCGCTGTGTAACCTTTGCTCTCTAACTACCAAGCCAAGTCCAACAGATGCCAGGAGGTGGAACGGGATCCCTTCGTGTGGGCGACACACAGGAACAACTTCCTTTCACAGAAAACAGCAGAAGAGAGAAAAGAAAGAGTGGCAAAGCTGACAAGCACTACTGCAAGTCAGGTGAAGAAAGACGATCAACACTCACAAATAGCGTCAGGAGTATGTGCCCTGATGTGAAATGCTAGGAGCAAGGCATTGACCTCTCTGGGTTTCCTCCACAGAACATATTACCCCAGTCTAGCCATAAGCCACAAATCAGCAACTCTACAAAATGCCTGACTGGTGCTCACAACTGTCAAGGGCATGAAAAACAAGGAAAGCCTGAGAAACTGTGTAAGCGGAGAAGAGCCTGAGGCAACCTGCAGACTTGACTTAAGTGGTTCTTGGATGGGCTCCTTGGAGAGAAGAGAACATGCTGCAGAAACTGAGGTGGAAATAATGGAACCCTGGATAGAGAAAAGTTTTTTTTAACCTTTTAAAAAAGTAATTTAACAGTTTATTTTTACATCATTTTGTGACTTTTTCCATCTCAGTTGTAATCCCATGGGCTTCTCATCACCACATCACCCATGTGCCATGACCATAGACCAGTGCACTTCCCTCCCCCTCCAACGTTTTTGGATCCCATTCCCCACTCCACTCCTGTAAAATGTCTCTGTTCATTATTATTATTATTATTTTCTCTCCTGGTCCTTTATACTCTTGCTATGAGTGAAACCATCTGATATGGTATTTTTCCTTTTCTTTCTGGCTTATTTTACTTAGCATGATTCCTTCCCGCTCCATCCATGTTGCTGCAAACAGCATGAGTATATCTTTTTTTTTAGGTGCTAAGTAATATTCTATTGTGTATATGTACCACATCTTTTTAATTCAGTAATCTACTTTTGGGCATTTGGGTTGATTCCATGTCTTTCCAATTATAAATAAAGCAGCAATAAACATGGGAGTGCAGGTGTCTTTTTGAATCAGTGTTTTTTGTGTCTTTTGGGTAGATACCTAGGAGTGCGATTTCTGGGTCGTAGGGAAGCTCCATGTTTAGCAGTTTGAGGAACCTCCAAACAGTTTTCCATAGTGGTTGTACTAGTTTACATTCCAACCAGCAGTGTAGGAGAGTTCCTTTTTCTCCACATCCTCGCCAACATTTGTTGTTGCTAGTTGTTTGAAGATGTGCCATTCTCACTGGTGTGAGGTGATATCTCATTATGGTTTTAATTTGCATCTCCCTTATTACGAGTGATGTTGAACATTTTTTCATATGCTTATTGGCCATCTGCATTTCCTCTTTAGAAAAGTGTCTTTTAGCTCTTCTGCCCATTTTCTGATGGAGTTGTTTATTTTTGTTGAGTTTCATTAGTTCTTTATATACCTTTGTGATCAATCCTTTATTGCTAATTTTGTGTGAGAAAATTTTTTTCCCAATCAGTGGGATGTCTGTTTTTTATAATGTCGCTTTTGCTGTACAGAAGCTCAGAAAGGGCTTTTTTTTAATGCATACAGATCTAGGGCACATGCCAGAGGTGCGGGGGGAGGGGGGTGTGAGAGAGGATTCACGAGAGACAGAGTGGGGAACAGAACAGGTGAATATTGAAATACACTGCTGAGGGAAGCAGTGGGGAGACAGGCGAGGCCTGCTGCACCATGTGGGTCAGCATCCTGGCCGGGGATCAAACTTGTGCTGCAGAGGCTTCTGACAGCTTCATAGTGCTGGCACTTAACCCCTCACACCACCAGGGAGGCCAGAAAGGCCTCTTTAGTCAATAAAAATGTATCACTTTTGTTCATTAATTGTGACACATGTGTCACGCTAATGTAAAATGTTAAATAATAAACCAAACCTGGAGTGGGATATGAGAACTCACTGTCCTAGCTTCCCAGTAATTCTGTAAATCTAAAACTGTTCTGAAATGAAGTCTATTTTAAAAAATAACTAACTGCCAATTTTTCAAATCAAGGTTTTTTTTTAAGGTTCTCTTTAAGGAATAAACCCAACTGTTTGAAAATAAAGTTTCTTCGTGGGGCACATTTTGAAGTAACAAGAGCAAAACTTAAGCTTGGAGCGCAGAGGGGACATGCAAGGTGAAGGGGTCTCTCGGAGAGGGAGTGGGGTGCTTGGCCGGCCCCATTACTTCCGCCACAGCACTAGCAACATGGCTGCTTTTGCCTTGAAAACCAAGAAAACAAGCAGAAGGCTCACAGAATATTCTGCCTCTTTCCGGCATGGAGGGCAGCAGTGTGGTAACAAGTGGTAACAAAAAGTGAGTCGTACTAAGCAGTTATCTAACCAAAGTTCTTACTGAAAGATAACCCCCTCTGAAGAGTGTTATGATCCAAATTCCCCTAAAGTCCCTGAGCCCAGAAACATCTGGAGGTTAAAAAATTATTTTTACTATAAAAAAGGGGGAGGGGGAAACGTGCCAGAGAAGTACTCAATATCAAGGTTGATTTAAATCTTAGTTGCTCTAGTTCTATTTTAAAATGTGTTGATAAAGGCCCTCCCTGGTGGCGCAGC